TTGTACCATCTTCTTGGGTCATCGATGAAGTTTACAAAGTAATAGCACGAATTGAAAAGACTTAAAAATAGCGTGATAAAAAAGTGAAATTTCAAGAAGTTACAAAGGAAAAATTCTCATCCATCACGAGCCGTTGCAGAACTCTGTTGGGCTTTAACGCCTTCATTAAAAGCCCAACGGGCCTTCTCTTCCAAGCCCTTGGACACATAGCACTCACCCAATAGACGGAATAACCTCGCCGTTTCTCTACCGGCGGCAAGCCTCGCCGCCTCTTCCAGATCTTCGATCGCAGAATCAATCCTCCGTCGCCGATTCACAGCCAACTTCATCTCAGCTCTCTTCACAAGCGCATCGGCTCGTTCCCCAACCGAAAGAGACTTCAGCCGCGGATAAGTCAGCGCCGTATCGAACGATTTAAGAGCGGCGGTTTGGTGACCTAACAGATCTAGAGCTAAGGCACGAACGATGTGACCGGCTGCATCGTTCGGTGAAATCGCGATCAAATCGTCGGCTTCGAGTAGCGCCGTTTTGGCTAGAGATTGAGATTGGGATTTTGTGGTTGTGGTTCGAGCTCGAGCGATGAGACGAGCGGCTTGGATTAGCTGACCCTGGGTTTGGAGCTTGGCTCGGTGTTTGGTTCGGTATTTGGTTAAGCGTTTGTTAGCGATATTCTTAGTCGCCCAAACTATAACCAAGGTTAGTACCAAAATCGCTCCTTTTATGATTATTTCTGTATCCATCTCTTCTTCTTTTTTTTGCTTCTGTGAAAATCTCAGAGGACTGAAGTAGTGACTATATATATACACTTTTGTTTTTCTAACATTTTCTATTAAATATTACTTTGGATATTCACATTACAAGTCCTGAGATTTAACATTCGAATTTTGAAAATTTCACTAGAGAAAAAAAAAAAACAGAGAAACACTTTGAAGATAAAAGCACCAAGCTGAGGCTAGAGCCAGATTATACATACACAGTTTCCCTCTTTTGGAGATTTTTTGTTTTACAATTGAGGAGATGAAGCAAAATTTACACTTTTTGCTGTTGTTTCTTCACTATGCGGAGGGAGTTTTTAAGGTTCATGTTCTTTTCTTTTCTTCATCAGATTTGCTTACTCCATCAAGAGTTGTCTATGCCGAGTGAGATCGTTAAGGTACGAGGAAGATGTGTGATCTTGTAGGTCGCAATCGTCGAGACTCACTGCTCTTGCTCCGCCTGATTTCTGGTGCGGCTCAGCTAAACCGTCATCTCCACGTAACAGCTGTGCCAACTGCATCCAAAACCACAATTTGAACTCAGTTTCATCATCCAAGTAATGACAACAATAGCGAGACTGGTTTTGTATTGGAACATACCCGGTTCATGTCAGGACGCATAGCGGATACATGGTGTATGCACATTGACGCTGTTTGCATTACCCTTTTCATCTCGGTTTCGTCAAAGTCATTTCCTAGCTGAGGATCAACTATTTCTTCCACTTTGTTCTTCTCCAGAAGCGGTTTCGCCTTGCAAAACGAAGCATTTTAAATATTTCACACTGTTTGATTCTTTCATTTCAAAAGGATGGAAAATGCGAAGATAGAAGAGAGGAAGTAGTTTCAGATCATTACCCACATGACTATGCTTTGCCGGCTATCTGTATCAACAGCTCGGCGACCGGTTATGATCTCTAGAAGCAATACACCAAACGCAAACACATCCGTCTTTTCATCGACAATCCCGTGCATAAAGTACTCTGGAGCAAGATATCTGGAATCAAAACACAAAGAAACAACCAGGATTTTGGATTCGAATATCGAGAAAAACAAGATTCACTGAAGAGATTTTAGTTGTGTCTTACCCGAATGTGCCTTCGATAGGGAAAACAATGTGATGAGGCCAATTCTCTGGGAGCCACTTAGCAAGCCCGAAATCCGAAATCTGCCAAAAAAACCGATTCGATTCGATACTCAGTCCACACAAAAAAGAAGCTGATTGCTGTTTTGTTGGATCAATCAATCAAATACCTGAGCATCGTAATCTTGACTGAGCAAGATGTTAGAAGCTTTAATGTCACGGTGAATAATCCGTCGAGGACAATCATTATGAAGATAACTCAAACCATCAGCTATACCCAAAGCTACTTTATACCGTTTCTTCCAATCCAAACACTCCTCAGATCCTACAAACAAAAAAAAAAGCTTCCAATTACATA